GGTCAAATATTGGAGAGTTCTGATGGTAGCAACAAGAGAGATGGTCAAATATTGGAGAGTTCTGATGGTAGCAACAAGACAGAGAGATGGTCAAATATTGGAGAGTTCTGATGGTAGCTACAAGAGAGATGGTCAAATATTGGAGAGTTCTGATGGTAGCCACAAGAGAGATGGTCAAATATTGGAGAGTTCTGATGGTAGCAACAAGACAGAGAGATGGTCAAATATTGGAGAGTTCTGATGGTAGCTACAAGAGAGATGGTCAAATATTGGAGAGTTCTGATGGTAGCTACAAGAGAGATGGTCAAATATTGGAGAGTTCTGATGGTAGCCACAAGACATAGATGGTCAAATATTGGAGAGTTCTGATGGTAGCCACAAGACAGAGAGATGGTCAAATATTGGAGAGTTCTGATGGTAGCCACAAGACATAGATGGTCAAATATTGGAGAGTTCTGATGGTAGCAACAAGACATAGATGGTCAAATATTGGAGAGTTCTGATGGTAGCCACAAGACATAGATGGTCAAATATTGGAGAGTTCTGATGGTAGCAACAAGAGAGATGGTCAAATATTGGAGAGTTCTGATGGTAGCAACAAGACAGAGAGATGGTCAAATATTGGAGAGTTCTGATGGTAGCAACAAGAGAGATGGTCAAATATTGGAGAGTTCTGATGGTAGCAACAAGACAGAGAGATGGTCAAATATTGGAGAGTTCTGATGGTAGCCACAAGACAGAGAGATGGTCAAATATTGGAGAGTTCTGATGGTAGCAACAAGAGAGATGGTCAAATATTGGAGAGTTCTGATGGTAGCAACAAGAGAGATGGTCAAATATTGGAGAGTTCTGATGGTAGCCACAAGAGAGATGGTCAAATATTGGAGAGTTCTGATGGTAGCCACAAGACAGAGAGATGGTCAAATATTGGAGAGTTCTGATGGTAGCAACAAGAGAGATGGTCAAATATTGGAGAGTTCTGATGGTAGCAACAAGAGAGATGGTCAAATATTGGAGAGTTCTGATGGTAGCAACAAGAGAGATGGTCAAATATTGGAGAGTTCTGATGGTAGCCACAAGACAGAGAGATGGTCAAATATTGGAGAGTTCTGATGGTAGCAACAAGACAGAGAGATGGTCAAATATTGGAGAGTTCTGATGGTAGCCACAAGAGAGATGGTCAAATATTGGAGAGTTCTGATGGTAGCAACAAGACAGAGAGATGGTCAAATATTGGAGAGTTCTGATGGTAGCAACAAGACATAGATGGTCAAATATTGGAGAGTTCTGATGGTAGCTACAAGACAGAGAGATGGTCAAATATTGGAGAGTTCTGATGGTAGCAACAAGACAGAGAGATGGTCAAATATTGGAGAGTTCTGATGGTAGCCACAAGAGAGATGGTCAAATATTGGAGAGTTCTGATGGTAGCAACAAGACAGAGAGATGGTCAAATATTGGAGAGTTCTGATGGTAGCAACAAGACATAGATGGTCAAATATTGGAGAGTTCTGATGGTAGCAACAAGACAGAGAGATGGTCAAATATTGGAGAGTTCTGATGGTAGCAACAAGAGAGATGGTCAAATATTGGAGAGTTCTGATGGTAGCAACAAGAGAGATGGTCAAATATTGGAGAGTTCTGATGGTAGCCACAAGACAGAGAGATGGTCAAATATTGGAGAGTTCTGATGGTAGCAACAAGAGAGATGGTCAAATATTGGAGAGTTCTGATGGTAGCCACAAGACAGAGAGATGGTCAAATATTGGAGAGTTCTGATGGTAGCAACAAGACAGAGAGATGGTCAAATATTGGAGAGTTCTGATGGTAGCAACAAGACAGAGAGATGGTCAAATATTGGAGAGTTCTGATGGTAGCAACAAGAGAGATGGTCAAATATTGGAGAGTTCTGATGGTAGCAACAAGAGAGATGGTCAAATATTGGAGAGTTCTGATGGTAGCAACAAGACAGAGAGATGGTCAAATATTGGAGAGTTCTGATGGTAGCCACAAGACAGAGAGATGGTCAAATATTGGAGAGTTCTGATGGTAGCAACAAGAGAGATGGTCAAATATTGGAGAGTTCTGATGGTAGCAACAAGAGAGATGGTCAAATATTGGAGAGTTCTGATGGTAGCCACAAGACAGAGAGATGGTCAAATATTGGAGAGTTCTGATGGTAGCAACAAGAGAGATGGTCAAATATTGGAGAGTTCTGATGGTAGCAACAAGACAGAGAGATGGTCAAATATTGGAGAGTTCTGATGGTAGCAACAAGAGAGATGGTCAAATATTGGAGAGTTCTGATGGTAGCCACAAGACAGAGAGATGGTCAAATATTGGAGAGTTCTGATGGTAGTCACAAGACAGAGAGATGGTCAAATATTGGAGAGTTCTGATGGTAGCAACAAGAGAGATGGTCAAATATTGGAGAGTTCTGATGGTAGCCACAAGACAGAGAGATGGTCAAATATTGGAGAGTTCTGATGGTAGCCACAAGACAGAGAGATGGTCAAATATTGGAGAGTTCTGATGGTAGTCACAAGACAGAGAGATGGTCAAATATTGGAGAGTTCTGATGGTAGCAACAAGACAGAGAGATGGTCAAATATTGGAGAGTTCTGATGGTAGCAACAAGAGAGATGGTCAAATATTGGAGAGTTCTGATGGTAGCCACAAGACAGAGAGATGGTCAAATATTGGAGAGTTCTGATGGTAGTCACAAGACAGAGAGATGGTCAAATATTGGAGAGTTCTGATGGTAGCAACAAGACAGAGAGATGGTCAAATATTGGAGAGTTCTGATGGTAGCCACAAGACAGAGAGATGGTCAAATATTGGAGAGTTCTGATGGTAGCTACAACACATAGAGATGGTCAAATATTGGAGAGTTCTGATGGTAGCCAAAAGCGAGACGATGACAACTACTGAAGCGTGACCAGCAGCCGTTCAACCAATCAGCACAAAGTGTTGTACCGTACCGGAGGTGTCAATCACCTGCCATCACGAACGTGCACATTGACCTAACGGTGCCACCAGTCAGAGAGTGCTCTACTCTACACCTCAGGTAAGACCTCAGGTAAGGTAGACGTTACTTCCACAACCCCCCCCCCCATCACACACACACAGAACGTGCATTTTACCATGGAAACAACTAGACAAGCGTCCTAATTACTTTCACCGTGTTTTTCCCCTGCATCGTATTCTCTATTGTAGAGGGTGTTTGCCGTACACGTTAGTGAGGCCCGTAGCAGTACCGGTTAGATAGCTGTTGTACAAGTCTTACAAGAGGGGACAACACAGTGGCAGCTACTGGAGCAGTACCGGTTAGATAGCTGTAGTACAAGTCTTACAAGAGGGGACAACACAGTGGCAGCTACTGGAGCAGTACCGGTTAGATAGCTGTAGTACAAGTCTTACAAGAGGGGACAACACAGTGGTAGCTACTGGAGCAGTACCGGTTAGATAGCTGTAGTACAAGTCTTACAAGAGGGGACAACACAGTGGCAGCTATTGCTGGCCAGCACAAACCAACAGGTGAACTAGCTGTCTTGTAAGTCACATATATGATACAGTCACATAAAGACAGTAACTTTAAAATCTTCATCTTATCAACTCTAAATAAACCGGGAGTGATCTCCCCTAAACTTTCTCGAATATTCTTATATAAAATAACAGGGGATGGGAACTCGGGCTATAGACATGATTTTTAATCCATTTTAAATACTTAAAGTTTTAAAAATAGAATAAAATCTCGTAGACAAATTAATTGCACACCAAGTGAACCCAAATAAAAAAGCGCATAATAGTGCGCAATATTATTAGTACTTTTAAAATTTACATTAGTTTTTTTGAGAAATCGGAAGTAGCGTAAATTACTACTTCCTGTCAACGGAAATTACTCAAAATTTAACAGAAGGTAGAGAATTAGATCTTTTACTTACATGTGAAATTTCATTTATCTATCTGAAATAGTACTCAAGTTATAGGCTTTGAAAAATTCAAAGCAGGAAAATTACCACTTCCGGTTATCGGAAATCGCTCAAAAGTTGATAAGGATCTACCATTTTGATAAAATACTTATATATGAAATTTCATCAACCTAGTTGTAACGGTACTCAAGTTATCGTGTTTACACACGGACACACACACACACAGACAGACAGACGGACACACAGACATACGGACAAGATTGCAAAATTATGTTTTTACGTATCAGTGAGGTGTAAAACGTCGAGATTTATAAAAATCTCGATTTTTTTTTTTGCACGATTACAAGACTTTCTCTATACTTCGTATATATATGAGAAAGTAAAAATATATGTTTGTCTTAAATTTTTTTCCTTCTAATTCTGACCAGATATTGTTCCGAAAAGTCAATCATAATCTTTACTTCTTAAGTTTTTGTTTTTTAGATACATTTGAATTTATTCTAGTCGGACTAACCAGTTAAATCAGTAGGCGACTCCACAGTTGGTGACTTAAGCAGGTTAAATGGTTAAAAATATTTTTAAAGAACGTACAGTTTCGGTTTTATGACTCACGACTGTGAAAGTATTGAAATGAACAGAACGTACCAATGGCAATAGCTTTAGTTCAATGTGAGAAGGCTCATGTCGGGGGGGGGGGTGTCCAATCCCCTCCCCTGAACACCCTGCCTACACTACAATAACTTTTATAAGAGACAGTGCACCAGATAGAAATGTAAAACGTCTATCGCATACATACCAAATATGCCGGAAGTCAATGTAAAGTCAATTTAAAGTTAACTTGTGGCTTGCTTAGTTGAAGGAAGGGAAACACGTGACACATGGAAACAACACTAGCTTGTTACTTGGATATCAAATTGGATGTAACTTTAATAAACTAGTTGAGAAGGAAGGGATGAGTGTAGTTAGATAAAGAGCTGAATAGACAGATGTGAAGGAGAGAGAGAGAGAGAGAGAGAGAGAGAGAGAGAGAGAGAAAAGACGTGGGTAGAGTAAGAACACACAACGTACCGGCATTAGCGTGAGAAAACTCCACCCCGACAGTGTTGCCGTAGATATCCAGCATGGCCCACAGCGGCAGGTTGGTGGCCACCCCGCTAAAGAACAGCCCCTTCTCCTCGCCGTTCACGCCGTAGTACACGTCCCCCGCGCGGTTGACGCTGAAGTGCAGCAGGATGTTGCTGGTGGTGTAGCGCTCACCCAGAGCCTTGGCCCAGTTGCCCGGCTTGTTGGTCAGGTCAGGGCAGGCGTACCTGGGCAGGTCGCTGCCCCTGACCGTGGCGGGGTTGATGTTGGTGAACCCAAACCTCAGGACCCCACTCCAACTGGTGTTGGTCTCCACGAACTTGACGTACACCTGCAGAAACAAACACGCCATAAACACCTGCAACAACACGTCATAAACACCTGCAACATCACATCACATACATCTGCAACAACATGTCACATACACCTGTAACAACACGTCATAAACACCTGTAACAACACATCACATACACCTTCAACATCACATCACATACACATGTAACATCAAATCACATACATCTGCAACAGCACATAAAATACACCTTCAACAACACGTCACATACATCTGCAACAACACATCACATACACCCTCAACAACACGTCACATACATCTGCACAACCAACACAACATACACCTGCAACAACCAACACAATAGCATACACCTGCAACAACCAACACAATAGCATACACCTGCAACAATCAACACAATAGCATACACCTGCAACAATCAACACAATAGCATACACCTGCAACAACCAACACAATAGCATACACCTGCAACAACCAACACAATCGCATACACCTGCAAGAAGCAACGCATGAAGCTACAGACTAAGCAGAGAAACAAACACCTCTAGGTGAGCACAATGTAGGCGGGAGTCAGCTACATTAGACAGCAAGACCAACATTTTTACACCGTGTGAAAACATTAGCCACACCCTACAGATTACAAATACGTTTTTGTTCAGACGCTATTTTAAAAAATAAAATTGAAACCTACAAGATATAATAAAAAAACATTTAAATTTAGACTCGTAGCTTCTTTAAATAAACTATTTTTTTTTTCGAATTGCAATTCAATCCTTGAAAGTTTCAAACAAAGCCAAGGCAGTGTTTGAACAGCAGACGATGAAGCTACATGGCTAACAAACGAAGCAGACGACAAGGTAGCTCTACTCCCCAACCAACTGGCGACCAAGGCACAACTAAAACCCGGCAGCCCGCTTTGTTTTTTATACTCGTTATTTGCCTTTTTTTTTTATAGAGCCGCTAAAGTCGGAGCTTACCTGCGGCAGGAGTAGCTCTGTAAACACAAGACGCCGCTATGATCGACCAGTCAAACACCTTAACCATTCCCTACCATCCAGCTGGGGGGGGGGGGAATTACAGATACTTATGCAGTACAGCAGTAATAGAGGGAGATTTTTGGCCTTTAACTCGAGCTAGTCAAGAGGAAAATGTCAATAGTACTATAGGGAGATTTTTGGTCTCTAACTCTGGCTAGTCAATATGAAAACTTTTCTAGAGGGAGAATTTTTTGCCTCTAACTCTGGCTAGTCAAGATGAAAACTTTACTAGAGGGAGATTTTTGGTCTCTAACTCTGGCTAGTCAAGATGAAAACTTTACTAGAGGGAGATTTTTGGTCTCTAACTCTGGCTAGTCAATATGAAAACTTTACTAGATGGAGATTTTTGGTCTCTAACTCTGGCTAGTCAAGATGAAAACTTTACTAGAGGGAGATCTTTGGTCTCTAACTCTGGCTTAAAAGAACATCAGTTGAACAAAAATGCCACTGACATCAGATAGACAGAACTGCCACTGACATCAGGTAAACAAAAATGCCACTGACATCAGACAGACAGAACTGCCACATGACGTCAGTATTTGGCCGTATCCCACGGACTGGTGTAACCAAGTTTACAGAGAGTGATTAAAGAGCCGGACGGCAACCCCGGGGCATGATGTTAAACGACAGTACGGACTACCACTGCGTGTTAGGTACGGCCTTACGTTCTCCAGGCCATTCAAATGTCAACATTCTCCCATCTTCCTTAAGTCAGGACGACGATTAAGACTGTGTAAACTACACTATCTGAAGGAAACTCTAGCTAATATTCACGTAATTTCCTACATGAGTATAAAGGAATATGTTGACGGGCACAACCGCTGGCGTATTGCCTGAGCTTGTCTGAGTGGAGACAAATGATGGGCACAGACTGAAATCTGTTCTCTCTGCAGGTCCTAATTACCAATTATCAAAGCCCCTTACCGACCATCTGTTTGTGAAGGGCGGGGTGGAGCGTGTTTACATATGAACAAGGACATACGCTCTTTGTCTTACACTCGGCGGGGAGAGGAGGGAATTCACACAGAATTAGCTGCACGTATTTGTTGATGGAAGCCTGGTCGCCGCTGGAGCAGACTCAGATCACTTCAATAACCAGCCGGTTGCTTCAAGGTAGTTCTAAACACTGAGGACCGTTAAAGTGTTCGTCATACGTGACGTCACACAATAGGCGGAAAGGGGGGGGGGGGGCGCTCAACCATATTTTATAAGAAAAGAAAATGGGAAACATGTTAATCGTATATATATATATATATATATATATATATATATATATATATATATATATATATATATATATATATATATAATTCTCTTCTTGGAGACCCTAGAAAACACCAAGCTGTAAACGCGCTCCCTACCACCACCACCCCACATAGTCTGGTGAGCTGTGGTTCATGCTAAATGTTTACAATCGTAGAGCCGGGTTTAGTGACGGCTATTAGGGGCAGATAATTTAGTTTTAATTATTATAGTCGTGTAGGGTTGAGACATTGTGGCGTCACCAAAGGGAGAATTGTTAAAAAATTTACAGTTTTTGTTGTTTTTTTTGTGACGACGGTGGCCGGGGAAGGGTTAAAGTCAGCTAAAATCACGAGACAAGCCCTAAACTCTACGAAATAAATTTATTCAACGGAACATGTTCACCTAACCACTAGTAAATTTCACAAACCTTCAAGCAACCCACTCCGATTTAGGTATTTGTCAAGTAAAAAAAAAATGCCTTTCTTGAAAAATTGACGCATAAACTAGACTTAAGTACCCACACAATCTACACGAGTTGTTTCGTTTCTTTCGTGTCAAAGACGGAATTAAACTTTTGTAACCACTCCCCATTTATCAAACGGAGCAAAGAACAACTAAGTTTCTGGTCTATGCCCTACAGATTACTACACAAGCACTGGGTGTTGATCGATCCACTGCTGAATGACGCCATTGTTAATAGAGTCCATATAATCTGTTCTCTATATTAACATAATAAAAGCTTAACCTCAAACTAGAAAATACGTTCTTATCAACTAGCTATACACACATTCATATCGCATGTAATGCCGTCAATACTTCGACACTTGAGGATTGTGTGGCTAATATAAGTACCTAAACATGGTCTGGCACTGGTAGACAGGATAACAAAATCTCAGGTCTACATTACGTGTTCCACTTACAAACGCTGGCACAAATAGCCGTTATTCGCCATTCAAAAGAATGTGTTTGATTTCGTTAGTTTTTTTTTTACAATTGTTCAACATTCACGTAAACACACAGACAAGAATCATCATTGACATGAAATCTAGATCAACATTAGACACAAACAGACAAGAACCAACATTGGCATGTAATTTAGTTGGAACATTGATGTCCCTATAACAAAAAATAAATTTTAAAAAATAAAAACTACAGCACTCACCCTCTCGTTAATTGCGATGGGTCTGTTGCTGAAGCAGATCCCTTTACAGAAGCTCTCGTGGCGCCTGGCCCGTGTCTTGTTGTTGAGGAGCTGAATGTTGTCGCCATGTGTGTCGTGGAAGAGGAGGGGGGCGTCTCCTCGGGATAGGTTTAGATCTCCTGGCAAACCTACAAAAGGTCAATAGGTTCAAATGTATAAGATAACTTCTACCGACAGGTAAATAGGTTTTGATCTAATAGATCCTATAAAACAAGGGTCATAAATAGGTTTCGATCTAATAGATCCTATAAAACAAAGGTCATGAAAAAACCAACCAACACTCAACCAGTAGTGCTAACGTTAACCAACCTTTACAATATCCAACCAGTAGAGCTAATGTAAACCAACATTACAATATCCAACCTTTACAATATCCAAACAGTAGAGCTGATGTTAACCAACCTTACGCTATCAACTATTAGTGCTGAGGTTAACAAACATTCAGACTATACAACCAGTTTAGCTAATGTTAACCAACCCTGACAATATTTAACCAGCAGCGCTAATGTTAACAAAAATTGATTTTTTTTTCGCTAATCAGTAGAGCCAATGTTAACCATCAGACTAATCAACTAGCGGGGCTAATTTTACCCATAAAAAATGTTTCTCAATGAACGCCATTTCACGTGAGACTTGCCCAATGAGTGCACTCACCCCTACCTCACTACACTTTGCCAAGTCTCATACATCGACCTGGGCGTATTCACCTTTCTGGTGCACCGATATAGATCCAAGACAAAAGAGGAATGATGACAAGATCAGCTGAAGACTAGACAAGGAACATTTACCGAGTAGTAGGGTCTTAGAAATACATCCCAATTACATGTGAAATAGTTTAATAATGCCAAGTGTTGTATCTAATTTGAAGATGATTTCCGCTAGATGCTACATGAAAGACAGGACCAGATTTTCTACCAGTCCACGTTTGATGTATACTACACCTTATCATCTTGTCATTAGAAAGTAAAGAACCGAGACTCCAATAGTCAGTGATATGCATCGAGTCATCATCGGAGGTTTGTGTGTAGGTAATCGATCAGACTACAAATCACATCGATATGCCGGTAACCTTTTGCCAAGATAAAAAGCTGATATGTTAATGAAACGCTGATATGACGCAAGATTCTAGTCACTAGGCACAAGATAACTTGGACAGAACAGTGTCAAGTGTGCATGTAACTCTTGACGCAGCTATGGAACAGCTTTGGTCAGACGCAAGCCTACGTTAACATTGGCTGTCTATGTGTGGACTTTGTTGAGTGAGCTGTTGTCTGTTAGTGGTCGGTCTGTGCTGGATGCGTGGTTGTGTTGCAACAGAAAACACGACTAACATAGCGCTACAGACCAGGTATAAAACTGACAAAAGAAAACAATGACACGCTATTGTAATCAAAGTCGAGGGGCGTAGACCGGCTTAACGGGAACACAAATACAAACAAGAAACTAAATAGAATCTCTCTCGGCAAACAAGTTGCTTCAACACAGGTTTATATCGGGGTCTTACACAGACGGCGGTACAGGACTCAACCCCTGCTTGCTGACGGTAGTCTGCTAAATGTGAACATGTATAGGTTCCTGGATATGTGCCCAGTGGCCGCGAACTTCATACCATATCTAGGTGACAAATACCTATGTATCTTATTTTAGCGTTTAGTAGACAAAACATTTCATAAATAAGAATAAGTCTACAGAAAAGAAAAAGCTTTCGCTTAATTTTTCTTTTCGCGCATGCAATTTATTACGCACATTTCGCGCTTCAAAACTGGCATTTCACACCATTCCTTATCAGCGTGTTTTGATTATACCTGTGCCAAAGTGTTGACACGGAATCAACACTTGTCCCTGGAACAAGTATGTCCAGATACATGTAACTTGTTGCAGGATTTAGCTTGGTAGTGTAAATGTTACTCGTGCACGCTCTTGGTGTCAACAAAGATCTTTGTACACGATCCATTCAAATTGCTAGCGGGTTTATCACAACAAAGACCTGCCATGACAATGATATCTGTCTCTTCAGGAAATGTTTAAACGAGGCTCTACCTAACTACATGGAGAGGTAAAAAAAATACTCCAGACTGGTTTATTAACAAGTGTTACGGGCTAACCCGGAAAATGTTACATGGTGCACCGGAACTTTTTTTTTTTTACAAGTTTGTAAGATATAAATAAAGGACTAAATGATGTGAAATAGTATCGATAGAACGCTCCGTATGAGGAAATTCGTGTCTAATTAAAACTAACTTCCTGAGCCAGCCTCAAACGAATTGTTGATGCTTCCAACTAAGTTCCGGCTGGTTGGCTTCTGTGTACATCTAATGATCTGCTCTGAGCACATCTGGTTGCACTTAGCTTCATTAGGACGATGGCGTTCAAATAGGTACAAGTTATTTTGGCAGTTAACGTTATGCTGCACAAATTGCATTTTTTTACAACAAATTTTTCGTGGTAAAGTTTAAAACGAGAACATGGCTGTGCTACTGGAAGTTCACCATCTATAGAGCCATTTAAGTTAATGACAGCGAACATGGCTGTGCTACTGGGAGTTCACAGTCTATAGAGCCATTAAAGTTAATGACAGAAAACATGGTTGTGCTACTGGAAGTGCACTGTCTATAAAGTTAATGACAGAGAACATGGATGTGCTACTGGCAGTTCACTGTCTATAAAGTTAATGACAGAGAACATGGCTGTGCTACTCGGAGCTCACTATGTATACACTTTGGAGGTGTAAAGTTTAAGACGAGATCATAGTTGTGCTACTACTAGGTTTACTATCAATTGATCAGTTTAACAAGCACTGTAGCCTGTTGGAAATATTTGGTCTCATATTACTTTTAAACTTTTACTTTCAACAATCTCACAACATGGCTGCTTCTGTATGTATATGTTTTAAATGTTTGTGGTAAGCATGGCAAAATGACGAATTATGATGATAAATTAATAAAGCTACAATGATAAATTACTTATAAACAACAATAATAAGACATCCAATAGATATTTTCTTTTAAAATCCACGTATGTACAACGTAATGCATCTGATTCAATAACGCTGAAAAACTTCTCCGTTACAGACTTCGTGGAAAAGGTAAAGCCATTCTATACTGAACCATTTTTTAAAGTCTATGCCCCTAGCAAGGCAGACTTCAAGCAAACGTGATCTAAAGACACAACGAAAACATTTCAAGTCTGAGCACAATCATTCGAAACCAAAAAACGTCAAACGAACTCCTAGCTGTGGGCCATAGACATAAGACAAGCCCGAAATAAAAGAAGCGGGCGGTGGATGTGATAAAGCGAACACAATACCTTCAAGCTGCAGGGAAAGATGTTTTCTGTTTAGTCTTGCCCTCGAGAGCTGGGGTCGAGTAATGATCAATTGATTGGGCACATTGATACCTGTCCACAACGCTTCTTGGCAGGATGAGGAACTAGCTTCAAACGACTGCGACCGTTTAAGTTCTTCCCGTCTCCTCCTGTTGCCGCGGCCCTCGTGTGGCTGGATGCGGATAGGCAGGTCGGACATGCTGGATGTGCAGGGTTCGGATCTCAGTCGGACAAGCTTAGGTTTGGAATACGTGGCCACTGTTATATCGATGCTGTGTTGTCTGACGGCTGTTTTGGGCGAATGCTGCTGGTCGCTGCAGATAGCTGCATTCTTTGCGTTGTCTATTTGCGGGGACAGGCACTCGCACCTGAAGGAGGATATTGGTGTTGGATGATCAGGTTGTTGAGATGCCCTTTGTCTGTCAGTTCTAAACGGCGAATTGGGCGGTAGGTTCTCAGACTGTGGGGTGGTTCTTTCTGATCTGAAGGGAGAGTTGAGTGGCCCATGCTCCGACTGGGGAGTTCTTTGAAGCTCTGAAGAAGTGGAGGATCTCTGGGCACGCCGGAGTCCAGGGGAACTTGAGACGTGCTCAAAAGAAAAGGCACGCTTCTGTTCGGTCGATCCACCAGTTAAGTTAGCCTGTTCTATCCAGGAAGCTCTCTGGCGACTGCGGTAAGGGGACGAGATGGCCACATGCTCGAGCTGGGGGCTGCGGTGTAGCTCTGAGATCCCTGAAGGCGTGGACGCCCGCTCGCCCCACGAGACCCTGTCCCTGAAGGGAGACGATGGTACAACAGAGCGTTCTGTGGGTGGGGATCGCTGCACATCTTCAATACACGTGGACTCGCCCTCGCTTCTGTGGTCAAGCCTGCCGGACACCGGGTCGGACGAGGAGAGATGCTGAGATCGACAGCTGGTCTGCTCGCTGCTGACCTGACCTTGAGTGAGGGAAACGACTTGTTGAGATCTAGGGTTGCTGGGTCCTGATATGGACAGCTGCTCTGTGCTGCTCTGGTCAGTTCGAGATGTCTGTTGACCGACGCTGTTGGTGATCTCAATGGTCTGCTGCACGTTGTGTCTTTTTGTCACAGAAAAGTGATCAATGATAAAGTTTTCCATGTCATCGAAAATTCCCATACTAAAAGCTGGTATTCACGATGTGGTCTAGAAAACCTGATTTAACACAAATCCCAAGTGAAACAAAAGATCCACCCTTGTGTATTCAGCAAACTTTAGCACTTGAACCATGCTCCAGAGGCAACGATAAAAAAAAAACCTGTCTTCACAAATAATCCAAACGAAAAAAAAAATGAACACACTGCGTGGTACACACCAGTTTAAAGAATTCACCGTAAAAACAAAGGGCGAGGTAAAGAAACCAGGGCAAGCAGATTCTTTTTTTTAAATCTCCAGCTAAATGTTCTTTACTTTGGCCGCAATCCTGGTGGCATCTACGTCGATACCGCCCATGATCTTCTGTTTATGTCGTCACTGATTGTTACACCAGGTGCAGTAATGACGGGTAACAACAGCTACGTTACGATACTGAGGTAAGACGGCGAGAAACTGCGATACCTAGTGAGTACAGCTCGGCTCTGCTCAATAACAAACCACTGTATACTGCTATTATCTAGAGGAAATTCTGTGCTGTGCCACCACTTTGAATCAAAACTGAAGTGAAAACCTCCTTGGTTTGATTACAGCAAAGGCAGTCCCATCTGAAAACAGTAAGCCAAGCCACACCATTGGCAGAGAATAAAACGATGAACATAATTACTCCATCGCAGGGATGAAACAGAGGGCAAACCGTTCCTCTCATTTGAACTTCATGAAAGATGGTAAGGCGAAGGCGGTGTTCCAGTTCGTTCTGTTCCACAGGTTTTCCTTACCTGCAGCTCACACTTTGCTTTAGGAACTTCCTTTGTTCTAATTATACTTTTAAAAGCACAACACCTGATTTTTTACACTACTTGCTAATACACAAACAAGCCAACTAATTAACTATTTATCTGTAAAGCTGTCGTCAGATAAATTAAAATAATTGTTTCTTCTAAACACAAAAATGCTCACATATTTTTAACACAGTTTAAAGTGCGATAACCTAAAAAAAAATGGTGCGCGGAACACAGTCAGCACGTGTATACTGTAGGCAAAACTAGATCGACACCGTAAACTCCGGTTCCAGACTGCTATCAGTTTGTAAAAATAACAGGTTAGCAGAAAAGATGAGGCAGGGAGAGGCCAGGCCTCCAGCAGCCGATAAGCGGTACTAGACAAACCTAAAGGTAGGCTCGGGCAAGAAGGAAAGTGTACGGACACTCAGCGGCCATGTGTTAGATGACCAGCGGATAAACTCAGTGCTGCGGGCTACTGGCATTGGGAGAGTGCCTGCTACAGGCTAGCATGTTGTGACATGCCTGAAGGGTAACACAGAGTTTTTGGCTCAAACATCACACATGCCAGGTTGAACTCAAGAAATATGCCCTGTTCAATAAATATCAGAGATCAAAGTTTCTATTTTTAGATACACAGACAAAAAAATAATAGCTTGAAGTCAATTAAGGTGAAGTGTAAACAAAATAACAAAGTGCAGTAAATCTCTGTAAATCATAGAACACCAAAAGAAAAGAATTCTAGGATAATGGGTTGTCTCATACTAATATTCAGAGTTTCTTTCAGGCATCTCTTAGAGGGGATGGTGTTACACAGCCTCTCAAAGCTAGTATACCTCCCCCCCCCCACCCTTGAATGTAATAGGGAAAAAAATTATGTAGAAAATTTATAATTCAACCCATCTCTTTCTTTCCCCCCCCCCCCCCCAATGGAGAAAAATGCTAAAAACAAACACTGCTAATATTCTATCCAATAACTTAAACTTAAGGCTATGAATTAATTATAAATGAAAACTATAGTTGATGTACAGAGAAGCCATAGTTTGTACTTGATAAATATCTAGTTCATACACTTGTTTTTTTTTTTTTCTAATTTGTGGATATAGTGTAGACATATGAGTCAGATAACAACTATTAAATCAAGTCATGACATTCATCATTGTGTATCTATCAGCTGGTCTAACCACACAACCACAGGTCTATAATTGTAGCAACTCAAACACTCTCCTAAAATAACTTCCTGGCTACAAGACTAAAATAAAACCAATTTGACACAACAGTTATTTGAACCCTGATTACACACAACATACTTGAGTCACGCAGCCTGAATATTACCACACTAAAACACTACTCCATTTGTGTTTGCCTAGATTTGATTATTTCCACAACACAATATGATATCAAATATGTAACATTTTCCCCATTTCAAATGCTGCATTCAAGATAGATAGCTACAGGCAATATAATAGTAAAAATGTAAAAATACTATATACAAACATTCTTTCATAAATTCTTGTTATGATGAGTTTACTCCTTATACCCCCTACCCCCTCCCCCCCCCCATAATTGGTGCAGGGTGCTTGATGGTCACATGCCCAGGGACTTTATAATCTCTCAATAACTGTCATGGACCACAGTACACTGCTTTGCCCAGAGGGCCATGTTGCTGTAAATATGATGTAGCCACTCCCACTCTCTTCTTTACACATTCGTATTAAAAAAAAACATAAAACGTATTACCACCAAACACTTTCAGGTGATAAAATATGAACAGTAAACCATTACACCTATTTATTCCTATGCTAATATTTTGAACCAAACAAGCAAACTTTTAATAATTAAAATGTCAAGAAAGACCAAACATTTCAACAACAAGTACATTTCAATTGAATAAGAAAAAATATATTTTAGAATAACACAGAAAATAAAAAGTGTGTGATATAGCCACAGAGTTTTAAGTGTATACAAAATTGTGAACTAATTCACACCTCAATTTGATTTGCATTTCTCACAAAAGTATTTTAAGAAACAGAAAGGGTTAAAGGAAACACCTAAAACTGCTGATTTTTATGTCAATACTCTGATGTTTTAAACCTTATCCAAGTAGATCTAGTTTTCATTAGTCTAAACACACCATTTGCACTTTTCACAATGACTACTATTATGAAATTTAGTATTCTTAAGACAAATATATGGCAGTAACACCCACAAAGTCCTTAAGAAATCAATGCTTAATATGTACCATGAGCTTAAGGCAGCTCAGGTTGGAGGGAGGAAATGATGGCTAGACTGTAAAAGATGAATACAAATATGATATATACTGTGCTAAGGGAAGTGCCCACAACAGACTGATGAACTATAGACACAAGGATGACTTGGTAGAAGCAAAAGGCACAGCAGGGGACAAACAAAGTGAAAGAAATGGTTGACACCCTATGCTCCACAAGGGGTAAAGTAGTGACCTAAGTAAGGTTACTTATTATGGTTAAGCCCTATCATTTTTTTCAATTGAATACATATGCAAAGAAACCAATTTTGCAAAATAAAATAGAGAAAGGATGATCATAAAAGAAAAAAGTAACAATATGTTTATTCCTAGGGCTAGCTCAATTCAACAGCATAGAGGTTATGATTAATTATCATTAAGTACACAGGGTTTAGTATTGTTGATAATGATTTTCCTGTTAAATCTTTGCTGTAACAATTGGTCCATTTAAATACTGACATCTGACCTTAAAGTTTGCATATATTTTAACTGTTAAATTAAACAGTGATGTTACTGACCATCAGGTTACATTTAGGGAGACTTGACAGGAGAGCAGCTCTGAGCCATTGATTTTTAGAGACGACCAAATATTTTCTTATAAAGGATATTAAAGTTCAATTTCCTACTCATCTCACTTTACTGACTTCTTATTTTTACTAATGTTAAACAGGCTTTTTTTTTATTGTTTTTAAATAATAAAACATAAGTCATATTAAGATGAGTTGTTTCCCATTTCACAATTTAGTTTTTGCTCACATGTTTACTTTAAGCAAATACTCCCTAAAATAATTCAGCTAATGTGATTTGAGTTAGTTAAAGATAAAACATTACCCAGTGCTTAAAAAATACCAACAACTTATAGGCCATCATGTAACTAGACATATTCTTGTTAAGAAAATGACCCAAAATAGCACAATATTGTTAAGAAAATGACTAAAAATAGCTCAATATTGTCAAGTTTACATTGGACATACAGACATAAAGCCTTTCAATCCTAACAGTGCTATGTCAACACAAAGAAATTAAATTTTGGATAGACATGTTGTGTTTTATTATTAAATGTATAAATATTAAATGTATAAGAATTTAAAACTAAATTAGAAGCCTAATGTGACAACAATGAGTGAACAACATAAAAATCCTTTCTTAGAGTACTTAACTACAAGAATTACTGAACTAATTAAAAGTGACTGATACTTTTAAAAATTTGTATTTAAAGGCATCAAATCTTTTTGTTCCTGGTAATTTCCTTCCAAATATGATATCAATTCATGGCGGATTGGGGGTCCTGTATTTTCTTAATTTATATTTTATTTCATTTCTTTTTCACACAAGTGCCTGATTGTTTTTATATCCATCCATGTTTTCTGGTGATTTAAATAATTTACTTGGTAACTTTTACCTCCATTTAAACAAAGCCATTTTTTGTAAATTACAAATAAATTAATAACATAATTTTAAAAATTACCAATTATTGATTATTAGTGTTGTTTCTTTAAATTTAATTTAGTCTGTAATGAAAAGGGAGGAGGAATGAAAACTACTAGTCTATATGATTTTCATCATTTAAATGTGATAATACAAAG